CAGAAGAGGACAGGGACATCTTATAGTCCACTGAGAGAAATGCAATGGCCTATATGGAAAAAAAGAACATGGAGTCTCCTCAAATAATGCAAATAGAAATACCATAGGATTCAGCTTTCACATTACTGTATACTAACACAATGAAAACGAAATCAGTTTATCAAAGAGGTCCCTGAACTTCCATGTTTACCTGCATCACTATTCACAATAGTCCAGGTATAAATCTACTGAGGTGTTCATTGTTGGATGATGGGTAAAGCAAACATGGTAATACACACACACACACACACACACACACAAACACACACACCCCACACACACACACACCTGGCTTTTATTCAGCCATGAAAAAGAATGAAATATTGTCATTTCTACTAACAAGGATGGAAGTGGAAGTAATTATGCTATGGTATGTAGCACAATAGGCTTACTATTGTTTATAATTTCTTATAAATATTATAAAGAATTAGAGGAGGCGAGTTTGACAGTTCCTAACAGAAAACATTATGAATATGTAAGAATATGCAAATAAAAATTTCCCTGATTAGGTCATTGCATTTTATATACATGTATCAAATTATTCTGCCATACCAAATAAGTATATATAATTTTTTAAAATGTTGGTAGTTTTGGAAATTTTAGGTATCAAATGGAAATATATTACTTCTTCAAACTGCATTGTCCTTCTGTTCTCGTGTCTTTTTAGTAAAAACTGTGTTCTTTATATTTAGCTTTATAGTAAAAAATTTTTAGTATCACATTATTTTACTAATAACTAGTACTGCTAATTAAGTAAATTTGTAAGGTTAATTTGCAATGTAAAAATGATCGGTTAAGAATAAAAGCACATTTCAAAGACTTCAATAATTTTAGTTATTAACATTAGACTCAAAGAGGAATAAATCTTTTCTCATTTTCAAGGGTACCTAAATATAAATATTACTTTACTGAAAAAATTATTATACTTACAAAGGTTCATTAATGACTGTATTCAATGCATTGAGTAAATCCATACTTGACATTGTAATAAAATTCAATCTAAGAGCTGCTCCTTTGGCCTTCATGTGCATGACATTATCAGGTTGATCYGCAAACAAGGGAATGCCCACCAGAGGGATYCCATGATAGATGGCCTCATAGATGCCATTGGTTCCACCATGAGTTATAAAAGCTTTGGTTTTTGGATGACCTAGGATTGGAACCAATCAAGGGAAATTATTCATGTCAGAAATAAATTGTCAAATATGTAATGTAAAGCAATGARGATAAATTGTTTTCTAGGTAATAGATTCTTATAATGATGAATTCAAATGGAAATCACTTTCAATTCTTGGGGCAAGAGGCACCTGTGTCCAATGGCAAGGTAAGYGAAGATTACATGGAAGAGTTGGTATGTTACRTGAGATCTGAAAAATGAAGACAAGGTTGCTACCTAGACAAATGGAAGGAGGACATGCTGGGTAGAACAACCAACCTGTGCAAACATAAGAGGGGACCTGGATTTATGTGTYCAATTAAAACAACAAWGATGTCCCTGAGCATGCTATGAAGGGTGTCCAATGCAGCAGGGAGTGGGTTGTTGGTGGTTATGAAATCAGAGGTAGGATTGGCTATACTTCATTAGGAAGTCCAACTTCAGGATTAAGATCTTAAACTTGATTGAGAAGTGTTTTTCAGTAGAGGAAGAGGATGATCAGAATGTTGTGCCAGAAACTACCTCTGAAGGCTGTACCTTCCAAGTTCAGGACAGCACTGCTGGGACTTTTAACTTATATGCTACATAGCTGAGGCATAAAGTTTATTGTGTAGTATGTTTGGAATAAATTTGTCTTACTGTTTTTCTGCTAAAACTCTTTGTAAGTGTGGTTTGTCATTATAGCACTTTTTGCAACAAAACTGTACTAGAACAGTTCCAAACTGTATATATGTATAAAAATTGTCTTCTAAATGGGTTTGCTATTACTAAGTGAAATTTCATATTTTACAGTGTCCTGTAAATAAGGATTAAAGTCTATGCTTTCCCTAAAAAAAGGTTTTTTAATGATTATGGATTTGTTTTTTTTTTAATGATATGAACATGCAGAGTCGGTTGTAATAATAGAGACACAGCTGTTTTTTATCGGCATTTCAGATAGCACTATTGTATGTCAATGTGTAGTTGTAAAATTGTAGAAATAGGAGATAAGGGACAATCCAGGAAGTGACCACAAAATTCTTTGTGAGAGGCAATTACCACTAAAATAAGGATACTTGGACTATGAACACAAACAATACGACTTTGTATAATAAAATGCCCACAGTTGTTTTTTATTCACTGTCTCCCTAGGACTAAAAAGAGAACTTTAAAGTCAGAGTATTTTGAAATTTTCTTAATAAATTTTTGAAACAATTTTTAACCATTATTTTTCTAATTGGCTATTAATCATGATTTTGATATTTATTCTGAGTCTTACCAAGAAGGTCATTCTGAGGAATCCATTTGTAAATTCGAGTATTGGGTCCTAAGGTAGCTGGTYTCTTGCCATCATATCTCCATATGACCTGTTAGGGTAAAGCAAGCCTCTTATTATTGAGTTAAATTTCAAATGATAGGATATTAAAATTTGAAAGCAATTAAGAAAGAAATCAGATACTTAAATACCTATCCTATGCAAGATAAAGAAATGAGATTAAGAGACAATAAATAATAATAACTATTGAAATGGGTATATAAAT